TGCTCCCACCTCAGCCTCCTGAGTAGCCGGGACTACAAGTGTGTACCACCATGCTTGGATAATGTTTTTTATTTTTTGTAGAGACAGGGTCTTATTCTGTAGCCCCGGCTGGGCTCGGACTCCTGGCCTCAAGCTGTCCTCCCGCCTTGGCTTCCCAAAGCACTGGGATTATAGGCAGCTTATTTTTAACCATAGATTTCACTCTACCTCCTCACTAGATCATTTACCTGAAATGTCATTTAATTTATTCTTCATCCCCCTTGCTTTAGTTACAGGTGAGGCAATAGAAAGAAATAAATGATATGCCTAGTGATTTTCTAGAAATATGAAAGTTAAATTGAGTCCTTAAGACTACACAGATAGAAAGTACCTCCCCATGGCTTCACCCTTCCCACCTGTTCAGCATGCGTCTTGTCTATCACATCTTCTCTGCTGAAATGGCCATTGACAAGGTAAGGAAGAGGTTTTGTTGTGGATTGTTAAGGCATTTCTTCTGGAGGAAATGGGGAATAAGTGTTACATTTGTGGTTTCTCACTTGCTATTCCAATAGTGGTTTTGTGGAATTCAGGCTTCCTTTGGATGTCCCGTCAGTGCTTGCCCATTGATGTTCTTGCTGCTTCCTAGGAGCCAGCACCACTCTTTGACCTCGCCATGTTGGCCTTAGACAGTCCAGAGAGCGGCTGGACAGAGGAAGATGGTCCCAAAGAAGGACTTGCTGAATACATTGTTGAGTTTCTGAAGAAGAAGGCCGAGATGCTTGCAGACTACTTCTCTTTGGAAATTGATGAGGTGTGACAGCTATTCTTACACCTCTGTTATGTTGTTCAGATAAAAGTCAAGTTCCAAGATCAAGACTAGGCCTCCCCTCAGAGGCAGCATGTTACATACATGACATCCTCTCCACTCCCTATTTGCATTTCTAGGCCACACTAGTATGCCATTATCCATCCATTCATGCCCACTCCTGTTCCCTGGGGAAGGACCCAGACCCAAGGGAGAGCTGCATCCCTGCAGGCCACTGTGAATGAGATCATGCCCTCGTTCCCCTTTCTTCCTGTTACCCCTCAGTCTTTGGGGCTTTCTGTCTTGACATGTTCTTTGATTGGCGAGCAGATCCATAAAACGGGTTGTTCCACTGCATGTCAGGATGAAAAGTTCTTTTTCATCTGCCCCAGTGCCCAGCCAAGTACCTAGTCACCCAGAGTGACAGGTATGAGGACCAGGCGTGGGAATGCACTGAAGAAATGGAATTTGTTTAGATTGTAACAGCATTATTTCCTGTCCCTTTGTGCTGGCCTTTTCTCCACAAGCAGGAAGGGAACCTGATTGGATTACCCCTTCTGATTGACAACTATGTGCCCCCTTTGGAGGGACTGCCTATCTTCATTCTTCGACTAGCCACTGAGGTAAGTGATCACACAAATACTAAGCATATCACACGTGCATGTGTGCTGGAGGGAGAGAGCGCATGACTAGACCTTCATTTAGAATGACAGAAATGAGTCTGCGGCCACCCCGCCCTGACCGCGCCGGATCCCGTCCGCCGTCCGAAGCTAAGCAGGGTCGGGCCCGGTCAGTATTTGGATGGGAGAATGACAGAAATGACAAGAGTGAAACAGGTTCCCACCCCCACCAATATTCAGCAGTCCAAATTATAGCGTTAATGCCTAAACATCACATTTAGTTTTTTGGCTTTAAGTAGGCTGTGATCTCCATTTAGAAATGAAAATGTGTTTGAAGTGTGTACCTATCTTGAAGTATTGAATTCTTTGGACCAGGTGAACTGGGATGAAGAAAAGGAGTGTTTTGAAAGCCTCAGTAAAGAATGTGCCATGTTTTACTCTATCCGGAAGCAGTACATATCTGAGGAGTCAACCCTCTCAGGCCAGCAGGTACGGTGGTGATACACATTGGCACCCCAGGACTGGCGCGGGCGTCACACAACCTTTAGGAAATGAAGCCTGCCTGTCTCTAAAGTCCTGGGATTTCATTGTATACAATAAGATTCAAACACAATGGTCAGCTTTCATTCATGAGTTTTACTTCCTTCTGCCAGTCTTGAACGTACCTCCAGAGAGACCTCAGAAACTCTCAAATGTAAAACACAAGCCATCACAGTGAGAAACTGGAGGTTGAGTTAGATTGTCCAAGGCTGGTGGATCTGTAATCTCCCATTGTTAGCCCTTAAGTGTGTAGCCAAAGTCTTCATATTCTGGGTCTGTCTCCCCAGTCTCTCTTAGCTTTTGCTTTATTTCTGTGGTTCCCAAACCCTGGGACCTGTACTGGTCTGTGGCCTATTAGGAACCAAACAGCAGGCTGTGAGCAGCAGGCCAGGGAAGCTTCATCTGTATTTACAGCCATTCCTGATCGCTCGCGTCACCGCATAAGCTCTGCCTCCTGTCAGATCAGCAGCGGCATTAGATTCTCACAGGAGCGTGACTCCTACTGTAAACTGCGCATGCGAGGGATCTAGGTTGCATGTTTCTTATGAGAATCTAATGCCTGATGATCTGAGGTGGAGCTGAGGCGGTGACACTAGCGCTGGGGAGCGGCTGCAAATACGGATTATCATTAGCAGAGAGGTTTGATTGCATGATAAATGTAATGCACTTGAATCATCCTGAAACCACCCCCAGCCCCAGTCCATGGAAAAATTGTCTTCCACGAAACTGGTCCCTGGTGCCAAAAAGGTTGGGGACCACAGCCTTGCCAGGAAAACAAGGCTCTATAACTCCTCTTATAGGTCAACTTGACACAAAAGGGCCTGTGTTCCTAATGTTTTATTGTCACTTTTCCCAGTCAGATGAAAATGCTTTCCAAATCAACATATATTTCAGGGGAGGAGGAAGTGGGGAGTTGAAATAGTGTAAGAATCAAAGAGTAGTGCACTTTAACACATAACCATCTCAGTGATTGCTGACAGTCATGCTCCAGTTCACAGGTGAGGAAGCTGAAGGATGGTTGGCCCCCTCAAGGATTCCCAGAGTCTGTAGGTGGTGGAGCAGAGATTCAGTCCCAGGTCCTGTGGGCCACCGCCCCTAGGGAATTTTGCACTCCAGTGGAGAAGGCAAAGCAGCACACTTACCAAATTATGCTGAGAGTATCTCAGATGACTGGAAAAATTTACCTCAAGGAAAGGAAGGACAGAGGAGAAAGAACATTTCCTTGTATATGAGACACAAGGCTTAGAAGGAGAGGAATGATGAGGTAAAATAATCCTCATTACCTGAATGGAATCAGGCCCTCAAGAGCAGTGGCTTTTCTCCCTTAAAAACCTCTTCTTTTCAGGCCTGTGGGATCCCTGAGAGGCTGGCCCACAGAGGCTGCTTCATAAGCATTAGATGACATAGCTCATCACAAGCCACCAAGACTTTCCAGGCCCAGTGTACATGCCATCAGCCAGGAAGCCACTATGTGCTGGGATATGAACAAGAAGGCTTCTGACATCTAATGTGTTTTCCAGAGTGACGTGCCTGGCTCCACTCCACACCCTTGGAAGTGGACTGTAGAACACATCGTCTATAAAGCCTTCCGCTCACACCTTCTGCCTCCTAAACATTTCACAGAAGATGGAAATGTCCTGCAGCTTGCTAATCTACCCGACCTATACAAAGTCTTTGAGAGGTGTTAAATATGGTCATTTATGGACTCTGGGGTATGTTGTTCTTTCTTTGTATTTCAGTGTTGTAGCACTTCAGGTTCAAGATTGACATTTGCCTTCTAACTAGTAGCATTCCTTCATGCATGGTGGATGATTATAAATAAATTGTCAGATGTATTCTAATGTTATTTCTTATTTAATTCCCTTATCCTTGAAAGAGTTTCTAGATCGATTTTCATCTAGTATATACCTGATTATGTTGAAGAATCCCAAAGTAAGTTTGAAATCCCCCTAAGCATCTGGTAAAAGGTATCATACAAGCACTATTAAGAATTCTATCTTGGCTAGGTTGGCATGTTAAAAAAAGAATACCTAAAAAGGCCTTGAAGATTTGCTAGCTCATGTTCTGATTTGATTCTTTCTGTATTCTCAGAAATTTCTAATAGCAGGTGGTATACAAGTTCAGATGCTTTTTATAAGAGGTCCTAGCATGTCAGAGGCTCTGATGACATTGACTATGGAGGAAGCTTGAATTCATCATCTATAGTATCTTTAATAACCAAAGCTAATTCATTTATTCCTAAGGAAAAAACTTGAGGGAAGAAAATAGTCCTTACCTATTCTGTAACAAGTATGAGTGAGTTTTTACATTAGCCCACTTTGTTAATGGCTATGAATATTACCAGCTTAAGATAAAGAAGTTTCTAGTTTTCTTGTTTGAAGGATGGTCTCAGAAGTGAGGGTCCTTGAGCCTGGGGAGGGGCACAGGCTGAGTAACCTTGAGTAGAGAGGAGGGGGGGTTTCCTAGGCCTCGAGAGCTGGGCCATACAATACGTTGGTTCCACCTAGGAGATTCTAGGATGACCCTGCATTTCAGTAAACCTCCTGCCCACCCCCACCACACAACTGCTGTTACTATTAGAAAGAAAATTTATGAGAAATCGTCTCAATTCAGGAGTTTGGTATCCACATTTTTAAAATGAAGGGCTAATTACTCTAAGGAAGGGAACAATTATTAGAGAAAGGTCTTATTCACTTCTGAGTTACCTTCATCTAGTTTCTAGTTTTATTGTCTTGCCTTGAGTCATTAGATTTTCCCCAATATATTCTCTGTGTTAACACTCTAAAGACACAATAATCATCTCCATAAAACCACCTTGGTTCTGAGAGCAAAAGAGAATTGCAAATCCTGCAAAGTGACTGCACTCAGTGATAAAAAACCTGCAACTGGGTGCCTTTAAAGATGACATAAAGGTCTTAAAAGAAAAAGTTCTAAATAATTCCAGATTATTTTTCCATGAGAAAGAGATAAAAGAAGAGGGACAAGATAAGAGGGACGTGGTTGCCATGATTTGTTTTAAAGGCTCCTATAACAAAATGAACGTGTCAGTACCAGTTGTGGTTGGCAAAAGGGTGTGTTTAATAGAATCTTTAGGCAGATTCCATACCTGCCTACCCTGCCCTTCCCTCCCCCTTCAGCTTGTCTGAGGTTTTGCTCCACAAATAAGCAGCAGATGAAATACTTTACAAGGTACAGCACAGTTACTATTGAAGAATAAGGACCCTACTCTTAAAGAGTATTAGCCCTTGGACTTCCCTGCCCCATGCAATAAAGCAAGTTTTATATAACACTCCCCATATTTTTTCCTAACATTTTCTTATATAAATTTAAATATTTTACCAAAAAAGGCTTTTTCCTCCAAACATACAAATTTGAGTGAAACATAGATTCCCCATCTGTGAACTTGTTTCTTCACCAAAATATAAATGCTATCTGATATTAAGGGTAAATGTCTTTTGACCACTGGAGATCACTGAAGTCTGAATTGCACCGTGGAGAAGGCACTTGTGTTTTCTGAGGTCTCCAGCAAGCATCTCAGTGAGCACTCATGGAACTGCTGTCCTCCACAACCCATGCCTAGGCCTCGGAGTGCCCAGTCACTGAGGCAGTTGGGGGAAAGTGTTGAGTAAACGTGATTCTAAAATTACGGAAATAAAAAATAACAACAGTATGGACTGGTTCTTAGTCTCAAATCAAACTACAAACAAAATCCAAGTGTTCATTCATGAAGATTCAAACCTGCTTCATTCTCTCATAAATTATAAAATACAAAGGTGGCTATTTTAATGACAAAACTCAAACAGTACTACTGAAAGGGGTTTCTTTCAATGGACAAAAAGTCAGTTCCTCTGGGCAGGGCCCCAAGGAGCAGCGCCCAGGTCAAAGGGTGGCCTCCCTATTGCTGGGCCAGAAGTGCTGTCCTGTTGGCCTTCATCTTCTCCAGCCGCTTGGCCAGGTGGCTGTTGGTCATCTCCATCTCCTCAATCTTGTCCAGCGCTGTTCGTAACTGGAGACAAGGAGAGCTCAGTCACTTCAAAACAAAACCCAGTGGTACTTTATTTCCAACTTTCTGGGAAATGGAGGCACTGCTAATTGTGATGACCTTGCACAGGATCTCACAGCCTAATTTTTTTTTTTCTGCCAGCTAGAGGTGTTAACAATGATGTTGAGGATTGTTTATTTGTATAAATCACAGAAAGGATATACAGAAGTTGGAGAGATAGACCTGATGTGAAACAAAAATAAAAACTGTCTTTTTACTCATTGTCTAACTGAACAAAACTTACAAGTAAATGGAAGTCACTGTGCAGGGTCAAAAACCAACACAAACGGGTAAGTGACTCCACTGCTATTTCTTTAAGATCTGACCCAGTATTAAATTTCTTATACAGCAAAGGATTTATTTCCAAAGGATTTTTTCTTTTTGGGAACACAGTTTTCAAGCAGCATAGTAAAACAAGTACCTCTCGTTGTAGCTTCCTTTTTTCTGCTTTTAGTTCATCTTCTACTTTCTCAGCATTCTCAGCAGCAGTTTTATATCTCAGCACCTGTCCCTCAAGCCGGCTAATCTGTCAATGTAAGAGCATAGGCCTCTAGTGTTGGGCACTAGAAATCACCACTTTTTGGTAGCCAAGATGGAAATACAATGTCACAATAAATTCCAAGTAATCTAATACTAACAAGTCCCCTCAGGGTGAGTCATAGGTCCTCACAGAACCCAACCGCTATTTATAAATCAAGAAGTGTCCCCAGAGAGGATTACAGCTGTAGAGTCACTATAGGGCCAATTTCCCATGTTAACTTTTATGATGACCATATTGTTTAAGTGCCAAAGACTTTTTGAAATACATACTAAGGGATTTTGTTATAAACTATGATCTTGAATTCTCTTGAAATATCTATAAAAAACAATAGCTACAGTTTCCTATGTTTTTAGAGAAAACAGAAGACTGAAGTGCCCTGCCAGGTGCTCTCTGCTGGCTTTTTTATTTAAATACAGAGTTTTTATAGATCTAACTGCAAAGGCAGCCCACACAAACCCAAGCACTCATAGGGTTAGCCACTTAGATGAAGGAAGGAGATATGTTTTAAAAGAAATTTAAATCACCTGGTACCATGTAAAAGAAGTACTTACACTTTGCTCCAAGGTGGTTATATCCTGTTCTGCTTTTGAAAGCTTAAATTTGTATTCACTAATTTGTCTATTGGCATCTCCTGGAACAGAAGATAATAATGGATTATTTTCATCTCTAAGAGATGAAGGTGTAAACCATCAGGCAGTGCCTCTGTAGCACCGAGAGGACCATGCAGTCTAAGACTACAAATACAAGCGCACACACAGCAACCACGACATCTGCAGCAGGCCAGGTTCTGGACTGTATATACTCCAGGAAGCTCTAGCACTTAGGTTGCAACAGTATCCCTTAGAAGGAGAGTTAGAAGGAAACTCATGTGTGTGAGCAGAGCTTTGATAAAGGAGCCCCACCAATGCAGCAGCAGCCCCTGCTACCTTTGTGCAGCCCTGTAACCCATGGAGCCTCTGTGCCCATGGGGCTGGGCCTTCTGGTTCCCTGAACCCGGCTCTGTATCTTCCCACCTCCTTGTATCTCAAGGACCCTTTCACCCCACCTCTGATTTAAATCTTAACCAACCTTCAAGGCCAAGCTCAATTTTTACGTCCTCCACGAAGTCCCCTTAGTTCATTATAACTTCTTCCCTTGGTGTGCATTTTATTTACATTCTTTTTTTAATAACATTTATCAAGCTTTTTAAATGTTGTATGTGTATGTAAGTAGAGGGGCCTGTCTTAGCCTTCTTAAATCTTCCTCTGTACCTAGTCAAGTACTTTGCACATCGTATATACTCAATAAATATTTGCTGAAATGCTTTTCAATAGCGTGTTGTGATGATGTGTTATGGGTAGGGCTATAATTCATTAGATGTACATCTGACCTAAGAAGTAAATCACCTGAAATGAAAAGTTCAGAAATGATGGGGAAGATAAAAAATTCCCAGCCTCTGAAATGATTACAAATCATAATGTTTACAGGAGATAAACCAGATCTAACCTACCAAAGGAAATACTCAAATTACCTAATTTAAAAACTTTTCTACATTTCCATATGACCAAGGTTACAATTACCTATATAATCTTCAATGCAAGAAGTTTTTCTAAATGGACAGTTACTGTTACCTTAAAAGTAACAGGGTTATAAAACATCTCCCCAAAGGCCACCTCTGGTAGTGAAAGAGAACTATTCCTATTTCTGGGCTCTAAAACAGAAGCTTCAGGATCTTATTTTTTAATTCTCATTCCCAGCAACCTGTTGATTATCAAATGTGCTGCTTCCTTCTCATTCTCCAAGCCACCCATTCCTTCCTGTGTTCAAAAGAATAAATCCGTTGTCTCAGTCATTTGATGGTGTTTTGAAATCCCATTCCAAAACACCATGCCTGACAGCCAAGGCACTGTCCAGAATGGAGAGTTGCCTGGGCTCCTTTCCTGGCCTGGCCCAAGGGAGCTGCTTGCTTTGGTCTTTACCGGACAGACCCAGTCTTCCCACAGTCCCGCTCAGCTCACTTCATTTTGCACCTCCACCCTGGGTACTTTTCCCTACCTTCTGCACATAGCAGCTTTCAACACCTACCTGCCCTAGGAAGCATTCACACATAAATGCAGCCCATTCCCCCTGAATCTTACAGATCTAACTGCCATGGCTGACACCTTGATTTTACCATTGTGAGACCCTAAGCAGATGGCCCTGCTAAGCCATGTCCAAGTGACTAGACAGCAGAAAGTATGAGATAACATATTTGAGTTGTTTAAAAAAAAAAAGGAGAAATAAAAGTCTCCCTGACTGTTAATTATATATCATCACTAAAAACTGACTGTATACAAATGGCTGCTGAAATCTCTCTACTGTGGGAGTTACTGTGAATACAGTAGTCATTTTATAATAACACAGGGTCAAAAGTAAAAGAATAAAAACTAGAGTAGTTTGGGTGAACTGGACTTTAATTTGTGGCCTTGTTTTAAATTCCATCTAATACAGGATTAATTTGGGTTAACAAGAATACCTCTAGTAAAATTCTGAAACTGCTTGATATTAGTGTGAGTTAGTTCCACATATATTCCTTCAATTATCCAAGATAAATTCACAGGGGAAAAAAACTTTAATGGGAGCTTAAAGATAACACATGGATGTGGAAAAGGAGTGTCAGACTGTCAGAGGCATTTATCTGCAAACAGTTCCTAGAAATCACTTTACCGAAAAAGGGTAGAGCAGTAACTCAGTCCTCTCATCATCCTCTGAAGCCCACAGAGCGAAGCCTCTGTTCAGCTGTATTACGGCTAGGACTGCTTTTCTGGACTAGCCACAGACTAACCAATCTTTGTAGTGTAGCTCCTCTTGAAAAAAGTCTATTACAAAAGCCTCTGGCAGCTTGCTCCCAGTCCTACTCCTGGGACATGACCTACATACAGACTGGGACTGGCCTGTCCCCTGGTACCTACTCTGCATTTCAATGAACTGCAAGTCTGAGCCATTCTGTAGTCCTGCCAGGTCACCCACTGTGCCATCATTCCTGGAGCACTTCTGTCGTTCTTCCTCTAACTGCAGCTTCAGTTTTCTAATCTGAAATGGAAATAATGGTTCATCAGGAAGATCCGATCTCTCAAATGAAGCAGATGCTTGGCCCAGTGACCACATCACAGAACAAGGCATATCCTCATCGTTCACACAAATTATTCATGTGAAAACTATTTTCTTTTTTGCCTATTATGGGATATATACTGTTCTAAATGCTAGAGAGAAACTATATATATGTAATACTAAAAGGAGCAAGCCACAGGACCAGGTGCACCAATAAAAATAGCCATATTCTATTATTTGTGTATGTTTTTATGGAACAGTACATATTTTGGGTATTTTTTGTTACTTTTATTAAAAATGGAAAAGTCCAGACCAGGCACGGTGGCTCATGCCTGTGATCCCAATAATTTGGGAGGCCAAGGCAGGAAGATCACTTGAACCCAGGAATTGGAGACCAACCTGGTCAACACAGCAAGACCTCATCTCTACAAAAATGTTTAAAAATTAGCTGGGTGTGGTGGCACATTCCTGGAGTCCCAGCTACTCAGGAGGCTGAGGCAGGAAGATTGCTTGAGCCCAAGAATTCCAGGCTGCAGTGAGCTATGATCACACCATTGCACTCTAGCCTGGGCAATGGAGCAAGACCCTGTCTTTAAAAAAAGAAAAGGAACATTCCAGCCAAGTATGGTGGCACATACCTGTAGTCCCAGCTACTTGGAAGGCTGAGGTGGGAAGATCGCTTGAGCCCAGGGTTCAAGGCCAGCCTGGGCAACATAGCAAGACCCTATCTCAAAAGAGAAAAAGTCCCAAGGAGACTGCTGTCTTCATAAGAAGCTTTGTAGAACTAGATTCCTTAAAACTATGTGTCCTAAAAAATTTCTTAATAGGGAACTACAAAGAGGCAAAAATATGAATTATCTTTTTATCCTTCAAATCTCACTTAAGTACTGATATTTGAAATAAGCACATTTGTTTCTAATGAACATTTTAGTTTGCTATCATTTTAGCACGTAACTTAGTTAAAATTAATATTATCTTCCAATAAGAATGCCTTCACCTGTGATAACAGCTCTTCCTTTTCTCCAGCAAGTTTTCGTAGCCGTACATCTAAAACAAATGAAAAATGCTTAAAACTACATGTGATGATGTAGTATATAAACAATTTAAAAACTCCTCAAACTCATACACAGAAAACATTATCTGATAAATTACATTACTTACAGCTCTAAATATCAAAAGAAAGAAAGACTTTAATAGTATTATGGAAAAATTTTTTTTTTTTTTTTGAGACAGAGTCTCACTCTCTTGCCTGGGGCGAGTGCCGTGGCGTCAGCCTAGCTCACAGCAACCTCAAACTCCTGGGCTCCCTCAGCCTCCCGGTAGCTGGGACTACAGGCATGCGCCACAATGCCCGGCTAATTTTTTTTTCTATTTTTAGTTGTCCGATTAATTTCTTTCTATTTTTAGTAGAGACGGGGTCTCGCTCTTGCTCAGGCTGGTCTCGAACTCCTGAGCTCAGAACGATCCGCCCGCCTCGGCCTCCCAGAGTGCTAGGATTACAGGCGTGAACCACCACACCCGGCCTATGGAAAAGTTTTTAATTATCCAATAGCATTTCCATACAAGTGATTACTTATCAGGGCATCAAATACATTTGCTTAAAAAAGCAGTGATTTGGCCAGGCATGGTGGCATGCCTGTAATCCTAGCACTCTGGGAGGCCGAGGCGGAGGATTGCTTGAGCTCAGGAGTTCGAGACCAGCCTGAGCAAGAGCGAGACCCCGTCTCTACTAAAAATAGAAAAATTAGCCAGGCATCGTGGTGTGTGCCTATAGTCCCAGCTACTTGGGAGGCTGAGGCAGGAGGACCACTTGAGCCCAGGAGTCTGAGGTTGCTGTCAGCGAGGCTGATGCCACAGCACTCTACTCACGGCAACGGAGTGAGATTCTGCCTCAAAAAACAAACAAACAAACAAAAAACAGTGATTTTTCCACTTAAGTACAAAGGAAATAATTTCCTTGTTTCAAAAATTTGCAAGTTTTCACTAGAAGGCAAACAACTCAGATGCCAAGGGTGCTCCCAGAGGTTAAGCCCTTAGCAGAAGAGATGGAAATATGTGAAAAATGACAGGGGGTAAGAATGAGACTGGGGGGAGGGAGAGCTGGAGCAAAGAAAAGAGAGGAGCACAAGGCTGGAAGCAGCGAAGTCCCAGGAAAGCTAGTCGGGGGAGGGAAGGGAACCCACTCTAAGATGTGGGAAGCCAAGCGTGAATCTGAGGCTTGACAGCAGGATCATCAGGGCTCACTCCAGCCAGTGGAGAAGTTTGCGGCTTCTCAAGGAGGCACTAAGGAGCTATCTGTAGTTCAATTAAACCAGCAGTTGACACCTGGCCAACCACCCCCTAAAACCAACTGGGGTCAAAGCCAAATATAAATTCTGGTTTCTTCAGCACCTTCCAAACAGGCCCAGGAAACACCCTGGGCCGCTCATAGCCATATACTCATTTCATTCTCTAGCTCTTCTCTCTCGCTCACCTAGCATCCTGCTTTATCGAAGTGCTCTACAATCACATTTCTGGAATTCTGCACATTACAGAATGTGCTTGCTTGCTAACTTTTAAAATGTTTTTCAGTTTGCTTCACTCTTACAGTATCTCCCACTCCTCTGGGAAACCTATGCATATATGAAAACAAGATGAAAAGGGAAAAAGAATGTTTTTTAAAAAATAAAAGTGAGCTGAGGATACAGTATCTATCTGTGCAATCTCCTTCCTCTAGAGTAGATTCTTAGAAGGGGCAATGGACGGGCACCTTTGTGGTTTCCTGGAGAGAGGGCTCATTAGTTTCTCAAAGAGTTAAATTTAAGGGCTTAGAAGCCCTGCTCCATGGTCTTGGTCATCTGTTTCTTGCCTTTAATCAACGTGGTGGCAAAGAGCTACAGAGCCCTGGGATAAGTAGTAGAACATAAAACCAGATGTTCCAGAAGTAAGAAACTTAAAACATCCTCTGGAAGTCCCCTGCTTCCGTGAGACAGGGATACTGGACTATCTCTTTGCAGAAAGCTGGTAGTTAAGTGAAAAGCAGTGTGTATGTACCCACGGTGCTTCCGCCCAGCAGCCTTACAGTCACACTTACTGCCTTACATGACCCAGATGCTGGTTTCCCAAGATCAAGGATGTCTGAACACAGTGTGCCCAGATTCTTCCTGTTAAAGATCTACTTAAGTCTCAGACAGCCCTTATGTTGTTTTTGTTTTCCAACCTGGGATACGAAAAAGCAGAAAGCCCAACAGGGCACCATTAATCCAAGTCAACATAGCAACCAGTGTCTTACCTAGTGGCCCTTCTCCTGCCGACTCCAAGACCTGAGCAGCTTCCTGAGACACAACAGTGATGGCTCCAACCACTGGTTCCTGACGGACATCACCATTGGGAGTGCCATCGGGGATTATAACTAAGCCATGTTTCTGTGGGGAAGAAAAAAACTCACCATCACAAAAGATGGCTCACACAAAAGCAGTAAACTCTGTGAGGTAACTCTGCAACAATGTATGTTTGCCACAGGCAAAACCTCGTTAGAATTAGTTACACAGACTATAGCTCTGTGGAGGAAATGACAAATCTCCCAAATCTGGATTAGGGAATAAACATTGTAGTTTGTGTTCAGGCTAGAAAGATGGCAGGATGAAAGGAAGGGGAAGACAGAGTAAAGCAGTGAGGGACCTGAGCTCCAGACTAGTGCTAACATACCTCTCCCGTCTTCACTGTCTCCTGCAGGGCAGCCAGCTCCTCTCTGAGCAAATCTCGCTCATTCCTAAGGCAGGCAATGTATTCTTTTTGTTTCTCTAGGGCCTGGTTTTAGGCAGGGTAGCAAGGGAAAGAATGGCACAGAAAAAGAGCAGGTGAAAGGTAGCAGAGAAATTCCTAATTCAAATAAGCAAAGATAAAGACATAAAAAGCAAGGAAGCAGTCAAAAGACTGGAAACAAGCAGTCAGATGTAGAAGGAAGTACAAGGATACAGATGTATAATATTAACATATCTCCAAAAGAGAGTTTTAATAGAAACTGGTTCTCATGCATAAATTCAGCAAAAAAACATGCTTATCACATCAAGCAGGGAAACAAATCTTTCTTTTCCAGTGAATGAAAAGAACAGGAAAAGAAAGATGAGGATACCAGCAATAGTAAAATAAAATTTTCCTTGCTAACTTCCTCAGTATATTTTCATTTGGTGAACAAAAAAAAAAGCAACACATTTCATGTTTAACTAAAATAGTTTATTCAAGAATATATGTGATTTTTTAAAAAAATTAAAAATAACTAGTAAACATAAGATATTTTAATTAAATATTAGCTGTATGATTGTTTTCCAAGCAGTATGGCAAAATACTCAAATACCACTTAATTCAAAATAATTTTCAAAAGGATTCTCAAGGATCTATTTCCGTCAATTTAATTAAATATAATTAAGACTCATTTGGTTTTCTGATATACTTTCAGAATGTGAAAAAAACAAAAATAAAATACTGACAAAACAAATACAGCCCACCTATGGAGGAGTAACAGAATATAGAACACTCAGAATCGAGCTTTCGGGCCCTGGCATATACTTATCCTATGCCTCACTTTCCTCATCGGAAAAACAGAAGGGATAATAGCACCCATCCCATGGGCTTCAAGGAGTATTCAGGGCAAAGCACTGCAGGCAGTGCCTAATATTAACAGAGAAGATTCAGGAAAATCAGGTTGGGTTTTCATTTGTAAATTCCCTGCCATTTCCTGAATCTCACAACTGTCAGAGCTGAGAAGGAACATACTTTGGTCATCAGTGACGTATCAAATCTGTTGTAATTATGTAATCAAATAACACACCCAAATTAAGTAGTCTACGTAGGAACCTGATAGCTGGCTTATTTGGAAAAGCCTATCTCCACATATTTGTTCACACATTTAAAGTTTTCTGCCAGCATTCCCATTAGTCTAAGAAGTTAAACTATAATGGGTACTTTCCTCTCCGTTTATTAGGTTCAGAAGTGGAACAACTAACTGCTTGGTTACTGATAGCTGAATAGCTGGGCAATTTTTAAAATCATTATAATCCTATTCTGCAACCAAACTGAGAATAAGTAAACTTATTACTTGTTTACTGGGATGATAGCAACTAACATTTGCATAGTACAAATTATATGGCAGGCACTATTTTATATACATATAATCTCTCCCTTATATATTATTTTACATATAAAATTCCTACCTTCCATATCCTGTAATGTACTTGTATTATCCCCATTTTACAGATCAGAAAACTGAGGCTCAAAGAGTTTATCTTTTTGCCCAAAGTCACAGTAAGTGGCAAAGTCAGCAAATGAGTCCAGTTCTTTGTGTTTCCAAAGCTCTTGCATAGTTTTTTTTACATCACAGCCCTATGAAGGCCACATTATATTCCCTTATTGTTATCCCAGATGATTCTGGGAAAGCAGTCCATAGAGCAAGTCCTATTCTTCACTTACCCAAACTGCAATGTCAATATATAACTTCCTTTCAACAATTTACACTCACACTATATGATGGGTCTCAAATCTGCTGACAAATTGATAATTTGGATTGCTAGCACCATAAGGCATTTACTATAATGCTTCAAGCTAGTATTCACACTCCATCACATTAATACCAAATAAAACATTAGGAGAACAAAGTACAGCAATACTTTCCCATCTGTTGAAAGTCACTTTAATCTCTCCTGGGTTAGATATTTTTGGTTACTGGTATCTCTGTGCATAGTTATGCCATGCATCACCACATATAACTGAGTAAATGATCACTGTCACAACATGCTCTATATACACAACACTGTTGAATACCTCATAGGAACAGGCCAATTTGGAACTAGGAATTCTAGCAAATGCTAGTACATGACATTTGCTCCTCTTCCACATCTTATAGCACTGGATTTTATTTTTACTTTTGGACTTTTTAATTTCATCTTCCCATAATTATAGATGGGAAAATAAAATATATCCTGTAAATTCACCCATTTTACCACAAAGTTTGAACACTACTAAAATACCTTATAATTGGATCAAATGTATTCCCGCTGGATCTGAAATCCTCTGTATTACCTGACCATATAACCACCACCCTTGTGTTTGCATGCAACAATGGCTCCTACAGTGGGTTTTATTTTAGGGTAAAAAGTACATGCTTGTGGAGATTGAAGTAATTCTTTATCTCTGACCTAACCTCAAATTCTAGCATCAAGAAGCCAAAAGGATATGTATAATGGGTTGAACTTTCAGGCAACAGGTTAATTCTCCATATAATTGCACTGGGGCATAAATATCTTCAGTCAGAATGGGATTGAGTTTATGCTGAGCTTTAAGATATACACGTTCTTCGTATGCACCTCTTCTATACATGGGCTGGCTCTTCAGAACTGCAGTGGAGCTGGAAGCAAGACCACTAGGGAAGGAAAACTAAAGAAAGCTGAACTTTAACCTAGGAATAATGTTCTTCATTAAGTTACTAAATTTGAATCTTAAATCTTAAAATGTTAATCTAGATTAAATTAGAGACAAGTGATGCATTAAGTAGTCACTGATCATACTGAAAATGTGTCTTTTAAAAGTCAAGGGAGGGCCACCAAACATGCATTAGGATGGCTACTAGCAATAAAAAAGAAAATAACCAGTGTTGGCGAGGACACGGAGGAAGTGGAACCCTTGTGCACTACTGATGGGAATGTAAAATGGTACAGCCACTACAGAAAACAGTATGGCTATTCCTTAAAAAAATTAAACACAGAATTACTATACAATCCAGCAATTCTGTTTCTGACTATATACCCAAAACAACTGGAAGCAGGGTCTTGAAGAGATATTTGTACTCTTATGTTCACGGCAGCACTATTCATGATAGGCAAAGGTGGAAGCAACCCAAATGTCCATCAACAGATGAATGTGGTATATACATAAAATGGAATATTATTCAGCCTTAAGAAGTAAGGACATTCTGACAGATGCTGCAACATGAACCTTGAGGGCATTATGCTAAGTGAAATAGGACAGTCACAAAAGGAAAAATATTGTATAATTCCACTTATATGAGGTAGAGGTTCTGTCTCTATGAATTTGACTACTCTAGGTAGTCGCAGAGACAGAACGAAGAATGGAGGCTGCCAGGGTCTCAGGGGAAGGGGAAAATGAGGTTGTGTAACAGGTACAGAGTTTCAGCTGGGAAAAATGAGAAAGTTCTAGAGATGGATGGTAGTGACAGGGTACAACAACGTGAATGTACCTAATGCCACCGAACTGTACACTTAAAAATAGTTAAAATGATAAATGTTATGTTTTTTGTATTTTAACAAAATTTTTCAAATTCAAAAAAAGAGTCAAGGGATGGATGAACTAGTGATACACGCAACAACTTGGATGAATCTCGAGGGACTTATACTGAGTGAAAAAAGCTAATTCCAAAAGGTCATATGCTATATGATTCCATTTATATAACATTCTTAAAATGGTAAAATTATAGAAATGGAGAACAGATTAGTGGTTCCCAGAGCTTGGGAGAGAGGGTGGGGTGGTAGTAGATATGGCTATAACGGGACAAGAGGAATGATGACTTATGGTGATGGAAATGTTCTGTATTTTGATTGTATCAAGGTCAATATCCTGGTTGTGCTATTATATCATAGTTTTGTAAGATGTTACATTCGGGGAACACTAGGTAAAGGGTATATAGGATCTCTGTATTATTTCTTACAACGGCACGTGAATCTAAAATTTTCTCAATATAAAAAAGTTTAATTAAAAAAAGTCAAAGGAACACATTATTGTATAGCACACAGAATAAAGACACTCACTCACTCATGCAATAAATGCCAAGACACTTAAAAAGCCAAATAATTTATATCTTAACCATCAGCATACCTTTTTGGTAACAAAAAAAAATTTGTTTTGTTTTGAATAGCTATTTCACTGGACTGTGAGGTTTGGGGTTTTTCTATGGTTAGTCCAAGATAATCAGTTTAAAATACTAGGACAATTATACAAATTATAAATCTGGGACCAACAGATCTGTGCTAAAGAAAATTACATATGGTCCTAAAAGAAGCCCATTGAAGATAGTGATCAAATTTTAACTAATATTTACAAATTACCTACTTCGTGCCACATATTTTTTCAACATCTCATTTTAAATAACCCAAGTAAAAATTTAAATAAAACCATTAGTTCACAATCACAATTTCAAAACGCCTAACAGAGTTGTTGATTTATCCCCCAGAAGGCTTTTCTAGGTTTGGGTGGAATTTCTAAACCTCAATAATTTTAACATCAGAAAAGTATCTATAAAAGTAGCTTCAGTTCTTTAAATTTTTGGTCTACAAACTTTTAAAAAACAATGTGGTCTTTCCATGTGTTTATTAAGGAGAGGATGGGTCCTTGGAGTGATTGATGGACAGGAATGGATACTGCTCACTGGGCTTCAGAATGCTCCTGACAACGGAGGTAGGATCCAGAGGGTCTCATATCCACGCATATCTCTCATAGGTGCTCTAGGGGATCTTTGCCAGCTTTCCCCTATCCCACCTAACCTCAAGCAGAACAAGATTTTTCTCACTTGTTCCGTTTCCTCTGCCATAGCCCTTCCCTGACAAGGTAAGCCTCTGTCAGCTACGGCTAATGGTTATCCTCCTGCAGAACAGACAGCTCATGCCAGGCGATGGGATTGCCATTCAAAGGCCACATGAGATGAACTGGTGGGAATTTGTTCAGCTTCCATGCTCTTGGAATCTACCTGCAGAGCTTAGCAAAAAAAGCAATGAAGACTTTTTTCTTATCTGGGCTCCTGCTATGGGGAATTCTGGGGTTATAATTAGAGATGGTGACTTTGAGAAGTCTTACATTCCTATCCACTTCCGTAATTAAACTGATTTTAATCTTGTCCTATTTTATTCACCAAGGATTTATAGGATGCTAATAGACTTTCCCGACCCCCGCTCCAAATTCTTGTACTGTAAGGATATCAAATTAACCAGAGTTTGAGTTAAATGCCTGTGGCTGCTTCTGGATAAGAATCCTCAGGGAATAAAGAGAAACTTCCTTTAAATGTTCCTACTTGTATGTTGCACAAGCCCAGTGCTGGAAAGAAGAGTTTTTTCCAGGCATAGTATCAGGTTTTCCCATGGCAGTCTTTCTGTCTCCTGCTTATTCATATTTCACATTGTATAAATGATCAGGAATAATCAAAAGGACAAGTTTTTTTTTAGGAATCTCTAAGTTAAATTCTATTGTTCTATTTCTTATCAATGAACTTCTAACATCAATGAACTTCTAAAGCCCAATTTCATCTCATACCCCAATTTTTTTATCTTTCCAAAGAAGTGTCTCCTGGAGGTCAAACACCTCTTTTGTCTTGGTGTCTAGTTTCTGCTGCGTACGCTGATTCTCCTGCAGAGGAAGAGGGGAAGAGAAGTAATAAAAGAACAGAAAGAAAAAAGGGAGGGAGTTAGAGGGAAGAAACAAAAATAAAGCTGATAAAGAAACTTAAAAGGGGAAAGTCTACGATGAACAGGAAAAGCAAAAGCAGTTTGCTTTTTAAAAGGAAAGATGACATCAGAGTCTTGGCAAGTGATTCTGATTGGCTTGCCCCTACAAAAGCAAGCAAGAGAACTGGGAATAACTGTCCCAACCACAGCTATGTGGCTGCAAGCCAGCGAGGGTTTCTGTGTACATATAGCTCCATATGTGTCTTCTGCTGATAACTGCCTTTTTTTCAAACAACAACTTACATTTCTAGAGAGGGAAATTTAGGTTTGCTATAAACAAATGGTCCTTTATCATAGAGAACAAGCAGTGGTGTTGAATTTTATTTTTTAAAACAGAACTGATGATTGTGAATTTCTGTTAGCAGCATCTATGTTAGCAAGAACATCACCAATTATAAAGGAAATATCGGTTTTTAGAAAAACCAGAATTTAACATTCAGCAATTCTTAAATGACTCTTTCAACTAGGCAATGATGCTAAATTTATACCCTCTTACAATTAACAGGTTTTCCTCTTATGCATTATTGGCAAATTATCATCTCCTACTTTCCCTACTCATACATTATCTACCTGACAATGCAATTCTCAAGTCTAAAGACCAAAAGGCATTATTTATCATATTTGAGGTTTTACAGTTATGTATAACCACAGATGCTAACATCTAAAAGATGTTAATTCTACGTGGTATATGTATACCATGGAGTACTATTCAACTTTAAGAAACAATGGTGATATAGCACCTCTTGTATACTCCTGGATAGAGTTGGAACGCATTCTACTAAGTGAAGTGTCCCAAGAATGGAAAAACAAGCACCACATGTACTCACCATCAAATTGGTATTAACTGATCAACACATAAGTGTACATATAAGAATAACATCTATTGGATGTCGGGCAGGGGGGAGGGAGGAGGAGAGGATTGGTATTTACATACACAAAGAGTGCAATGCACACCATCCAAGGGATGGGCACACTTGAAACTCGGACTTGGGGAGGAATGGGGAGGCAAGGGCAACATACATAACCTAAACATCTGTACCCCCATAATATGCTGAAATAAAAAATAAATAAATAAATAAAAGATGTTAATTCTAAACACAAAACACATCCAAACCTGGGCAACATAGAGAGACCCTATCTCTATAAAAACTACAAAATTTAGCTGGGCATCGTGGCCTACATCTGTAGTCCCAGCTATTCAGGAGGCTGAGGCAGGAGGATCACCTGAGCCCAGGAGTTTGAGGTTACAGTGAGCTATAATGACGCAACTATATTCTGGCCCAGGTGACAGTGAGACTCTGTCTCAAAAATCAAAAAATAAAATAAAAAATACCTAAAACTAAAGTTTTTAAAGTTTGTGTAGCCAGCATCCTGGGCTTTTAGAGAAGCCACAGTGACAAATTATAGAAATCAAGCATTATAATTCTTTTTAAATGCAATTACAATAAAAAACTATTCACAGTTAACCAATCCTAATTGAAGCTCCTGACTCTAAGAAGCAGGCCTTAAGCAGTTTTATTATTCTTTTGAAACTTAAAGGGGGAAAGTATATATCTAAACTAGAAAAAGAAATAAGTGGTTGGCCTATTGACATAAAATTATAAAAGGACAATAAGAGAAAGGATTTCACATTATTTTTAAATACCAGTAGGATACACAATTTGGATAATATGGTTCCTACCATATATAGAGAAAAACTAAGAAAATTAACATCACATGTAATCTGGTAGATCCAAAGGGTTATCTGTACCTGTATTTAAAATCCACAAATTCTGAGTATGTTCAATTATTCTTAAGAATGATGAAAAATAACACTAATCCTCAAACTGAGAAATAGTCATTTCTTTTCCTCTATTAAATGTTTTTTTAAGTCACTTACAGGGAGAGAGATTAAGTGAGGCAGGTCTGAGGGGAAAGAGGGAAAGAGGGAGAGGAAAAAGAGAGGCTGAGGTCTGAGTAGCCAGGAATGTGGATGAATTTGGTTAAGTTGGTATCCCCCCGGTATCATTAACAGCTAGCCTTCCTGATACCTAATGCTAAATTAGAATTAGACGCCCTTGATAACCACACCTAGACAGAGGCAGGATCCCCCTCAAACTTAGTTCCATATTTATGAAAAACCACCACCTCAAGAGGGAAAACCACATTTAAAGAATAACAGAGATGAATACCTGAAACCATGGAAGCAGGAGGCAGTAGGGGAAAGAATAATAAAGATGAAAGCAAGGTAGTAGGTCCCCAAGGATGATAAATGCTTTCAAAAAGTTCTTAGTAGACTATGATCCCTCCCACTCCTAAGATGTTGCCAACAATGTGGCACGCGGAGTTCCTTCACTGCCAGAGCAAAAACTTGAACCTCTTCACTAGCCAACCTTCACCTTTTTGTAAATGAGGCATCCTGACAATTTCTTCTTTTTCGTTGAGCCACCTCAGAAACGTATCTACTTGAGCGAAGATCAAACTACTTATTCCCCAAGAACGATGCCCCAAAAGATGGCATTCACTAGGTTCCAAAGAATAACGTTACTCTATAATTTTTCCTTCTGCCCATTTCCTAAGATGTCGTTAGAAAACAGTGTGCTTAGGAATAAAGACAATTACAAAAACTTCTGCTATTAAAAGGGGGAATGTTTATAGGGTTCATAGTATTAATTTTTAAGCTTGCCTTTACGTTTCATGTTTGTAAAATGTTAGAGTACAACTAAATATAAAGAAACAAGTAAACTCTTTGTAGCATTTTAACTTTCTTCCCCCGACACACATACCCTCATCCCATCCAACTCGTTTTCGTTCAGAGTTAAGTATTTCCACATTTCATGTACATACCTCAATAAGTTCGTCTCTTTGCCGAAGACCTTCTTTAAGTTCATCCATCTTATGTTGCAACACGCTACACATATGTTTCTGCCTTTCTAACTCCTGTTATTAAACAAATAATATCATTTACACAGGTCACGGCACACACAACCAGTGCAAACATATACAACATCAAGGCTAAGTATGACCTTAAAAACATGTCCAAACTGCTGATTCCTAGTAACCTAGAAAAACTGTGTACTACTCTATGGAAAGGTTCAGAAAATTTTAAATTTTCATCTCATATAATTATATCTCTACAAAACCCAAACTAATCAATGGCAAAATTACTATAAACAATAAGATAATTTAGTATAGTAACAGGTAATAGAATTAACATAAAATTCAGTAACCTTCATAGATAACAAACAAAATCCAAAAGAATAATAAACACAGTATCAAAATCAATATCAAATAAAACACACATATAAACTTACAAGATAAATCAAAAACCTATATGAGAGAAATTATATAAAACATTCACGAAAGAGAAGCAGGATTAACAAATGGAAAGGCATACCATCTTCTTGGATAAAAAGCCTCAACATCATAAAAATGCCAGTTCTCCGTAAATTAATCTATAAAAATACCATCAAATTTTTTCTCATCAGAGCAAGAAAAATTGATTACAAAGTTTATTTGAAAGAAAAACTAGCCAGAAAAAAAACATACTGAAAAAGAAGGTAGCCTTATTAGATATTAAGACATATTATAAAGCCTCTATAATTAAAACAATGTTATAATGGCACATGAATATAGATCAATGGAGCAGAATAGAAAATCCAGAAATAGATCCAATTAGATATACAAATATATTAAACACCAATAACAAAAGAGCATCTCAAATCAATGAGAAGATAGACTTTGAAATTAGTGATGTTGGGATAACTGGATATCCATTTGGAAAAAGATAAAATTGGAACCATACCTTAGACTATACACCAGGACAAAATTCCAAATGGATGAGAAGTGTACATGATAAAAGGCAGGGAATGGAAGGGGGAATTGGGAAGGGAAGACAAGGGAAAGCAGAACAAACTATACAGACACTGAAAGAAAAATAACCAAGGAGTGGGGAAAACTTTAAACTAAAAAACACCTCAAAAATCCACAAGTGGGCCGGGCACAGTGGCTCACGCCTGTAATCCTAGCTCTCTGGGAGGCCGAGGCGGGCGGATTGTTTGAGCTCAGGAGTTCGAAACCAGCCTGAGCAAAAGCGAGACCCCGTCTCTACTAAAATTAGAAAGAAATTGGACAACTAAAAATATATAGAAAAAATTAGCCGGGCATGGTGGCGCATGCCTGTAGTCCCAGCTACTCGGGAGGCTGAGGCAGGAGGATCGCTTGAGCCCAGGAGTTTGGGCTAGGATGACGCCACGGCACTCTAGCCCGGGCAACACAGTGAGACTCTGTCTCAAAAAAAAAAAAAAAAAAAAAATCCACAAGTGATAAGGAGAAAGGAACAATAAATTAGACTACATAAAAATTAAAACTTTTGAATGGCAAAAGATAAATGACAAAGTGCAAAAAAAAGTTATAATTTATATCAAGACAAAGGGTGACTATCTCCCCATATAGAGAACCTCTAAAATTAGAAAGAAAAAAGTATTAACTGAACAGAAAAACATGCAAAAGAATTGGACAGTTTATAGAAAAATAAATAGAAATAGCTCTGGATATGAAAAGATGCTCATACTAAGAGAAATGCAAACTAAAACCATATGTGTCACCAAAACACTAGTAGAAGTTCAAATGTTTGACAATATATTCCGGGAAAGAACTATGGGGAAGGAAACAGGCCCTCTCATACATTTTGGTGGGAATGCAAATGGTTTAATGCTTACAAAGGGGAATTTGACAGTATCTTGCAAAACTACGTATCTTTCGATCCAGAAACCCCATACTTAAGAATGACTCTTCATCATAGATACATTGGCAAAAATAAAAAAAGTCCTAAGCAGTATGTTATTTTTGCAGGACTATTTTTTAACAGCAAAACACACAAACAACTTTAATGGCTATTAATAGGGAAGTGGTAGAATAAAGTGTAGCACATCCACACAATGAAAATAGCTATGCAGCGGTGAAAAAGATTAAGGAAGGTTTCTCTATATTACATTCACAAGGTGATAAAAATCAAGGTGCAGAATAGCATTTATAGTATGCTACCATTTTTCTAAGAAAGGAGGGTTATAAATACATATATTTGTATATATATTTTGAATGGTCACATTAGATTAAAAATGGCTAATATATCTTCTTAGATTAAAAAATAGAGAAACAATTAAATTTAAAAATTCCCTAAAGGAACTAGGAAATACAGATGAATGACAGAGATAGATTAACTTCTTCAAATATCTTTGTTAATCTGACTTAAGATCTATGCAACCATTTTACAGAATTGTAAAATAAAATTAAGTTTAAAAAGCACTTCCTAGTGGAAACAACCCAAGTAGCCATCAACAGATGAATGGATAAACCAAATGTAGTACATATATAGTGGAATATTGCTCAGCCTTAAAAAGTAAGGAACTCTTGTCATATGGTACAACATGGACAAGGCTTAAAGACATTATGCTAAATGAAATAAGCCAGTCACAAAAAAACATGTTATATGACTCTACTTATATGAGGTACACGGAGTAGTTGAATTCATAGAAACAGAAAGTAGAATGGTGGTTGCCAAGGGCTGGGGGCAAAAAGAAATGAACAATTGTTTAATGGGTATAAAGTTTAAGTTTTATAAGATGAAAACTTTCTGGAGATCTGATGCACAACAATGTGAATATATTTAACACTACTGAATTGCACACTTTAAAATGGTTAAGATGGTAAATTTTGTGGTATATTTTTTTTAACCATAATTAAAAATAAAAAATTTAAAAAGTAATTCCTAAATGCTGAAAATAAAATGCAGTGAACCTAACTGTATATCCAGTTAGCAGCATAAGCACAGAGAAACTATGTGAAGTAGCTTCTAAAAACAGTAGTTTAGCTATACACAGCCTAGTGGCAAAAATAACAGCCAAAGAAACCAAAATAACAAACTTTTAACTATTTTCAGTAATTACATCGTTGGTGTTAGCATTGGTATTGCTATTCTCAGTAATGTGGGATAAAGCAATAAGAATAGAATACACCATAATTACTATCATTCCCCAGTGACTTTGAAACTAGGATTTGTAGTGTGGGAAAAAGTAGATACAGATGTAAGACAGAAGATGTTAAGTAAAAACACTAACACATTGAATATGAATTGGAACTATCAGCATGAACTAATAATATATTTTATTGTTAAAAAACAAACAAAAAATCCCCACACACATATTTCCCAGATATATCCACTGAAAAGTCCTATAAATAGTGACCAAACGGTGGCAATAAGCACCCACACTGCTCCACTAAAAGACAACGAGGGCTCCTTGGACAAACGGCTGATTCCAAGTACGGGGCAGAAAATGCACAAGATGAGACTGGAACGTCTTCTAGCAGAAAGCACAGAAGCTAGCAAAACAATTAGACTCATCAAAAATACTTAGTAATCAACCTGAAGAGGTTCACATTAGCAAAAGGTGGGACAATTTAAGCATCAAAAAGAATAAAAGCTGGAATGCATTGAAAATATCAAATCGGCCAGGCATGGTGGCTCACGCCTGTAATCCTAGCACTCTGGGAGGCTGAGGCAGGCGGATTGTTTGAGCTCAGGAGTTCGAGACCAGCCTGAGCAAGAGCGAGACCCCGTCTCTACTAAAAAAAAA